TTATTTAATTTTTAGCGTTAAGAGTCGCACGCTGGCCGTAACAGCGTATTACACTTGAAAATTTCGACGGGTTCATCCAGTGTCTAAGTAGCTCAGTTGGAAGAGCAGTCGCCCGGCAAGCGGAAGGTCGTGGGTTCAATTCCCGCCTTAGGCAGTTCGATTTTTTCAAGTTATTTATAATCTTTCCGTAGTTTTTTCAATTTGAACATGCCAGTCAAGTCCCGCGTCTACATGGACCCCCAGATACTTCATACTACTAACCAATTCTAGTGGTTTACATTGGCAAATGCCAGGGGAGTTTTCGTGACAAGTGTGGACAATCACGTGCTCGGAATCAGGGTCAAGGTTTTTTAATAATAAAAGATTTTGATATGTCAAATCGAACAAGCCGTGTTTTATCTAAGTTAAGGGTAAGTAGGTTAATGGATAACCACTTCATCACAATCTTTATAGCATTTACCGCATTGATTTTGGCGTTCACCCAGCTATCACCATGAACCAAGAGTGCAGTGTCGTCTGCATAGGTAAATATACTACAGTTATGGAGTGACATACTGCACAGCTCGTTAATATAAATGATGAACAGAGTTGGCCCTAAAATGCTGCCTTGTGGAACTCCGTAAGATACGCGTTCTTCGCAGCTTATCAGGGAACCAATTTTCACGCACTGGGTACGGTTGGTTAGGTAGCTTGAAAAAATGTCAAGGGGGGTGCCACGGATGCCAATAGCTTCAAGTTTGGATAGAAGGATTGGGACAGAGACCGTGTCAAATGCCTTAGAAAGGTCCAAAAAGATGCCATAACACTTGTGCTTGCCGTCAACATTGCCAACTAGGGTTTCAACAAATTCAGACACTGCGTCTTCTGTAGATCTGTCGCTACGGAACCCATATTGGTTATCAGACAGGATGCAGTGCTTGTTTAGGTAGTTTTTCAGCGAAGTGTTAATGTAACGTTCCAGAATCTTGGAGAAGGCAGTGAGTACTGAGATGGGCCTGTAGTTTGTGACACGGTCTCTGTCTCCCCCCTTATGGATTGGATGAATAATAGCCTTTTTGAAAGCTGACGGAAAGACTCCCTGGGAAATACAGAGATTAAAAATATGAGTGAGGGGTGGGATCAAGTTATTACGAGACTGTATAATAACACGTGCTGGAATATCATCCCAGCCCGTGGCACAGTCAACCCGTAGGTTCATTATCAGTCTTTCCACCTCAGCCTCGTCAAGTGGAAGTAAGGCGAAGGAATTGATAGTAGGAAACCTAGGAGAACTGTGATTGGGGCTTATAGACTGGGTAGGAGACTGGATTTTTAAGGCTAGATTTTTACCAACATTTGCAAAGAACTCGTTTACAGCATTAATGGAACTCTTAGTGTCGTTGGCGATATAGAGCAGCTCATCAGGTGTTTTATGTAGGCGTTTAGTGTTTGTTATAGTTTTGACAACGTTCCACATGTCCTTGGGATTGTTTTTAGCTTTTTCAAACTCGCATTTTTCGTAGGCAGTTTTAAGTTTCCTTAGAAGCAAATTGCAAAAGTTTCTATATCTTGTGTATGTGGTTCTAAGTATGTAATTTTCGGGGTCCTTTTTTAATTTAAGGTGCATAGAGTCACGGTTGTGTATATGTTACTGAGCTTTTACAGTAACATATACACCGGAGCAAACCCGCTGTAATCCATGGCTTAATTATTTTACTTTTGCGAGGAACTCTTTTTATTTCTTTATGTTTATCAGTTATTGTATTGACTATAGTTATGAGTTTACTAGCAGCTATATCTGGATTATTTTCTTCGAGAATCTGAATAAAGTTGGCCTGGTCTAGTTCAGTTTTTATTGCTTTAAAATTGTAATTAATGATCGTGTTAGATAGGGGTTGGTTTGAGATATCTTTGAGCTTTAATGATAGGAGTACAGGATAATGGTCAGTGATCTCAGTTTGTAACACCGCAACTGTGGCAGGAGATTTGGTCCTTAACATAACATGGTCCAAACAGTTGCCTGCTCTAGTGGGGAGTAAGTGTGCAGGCAGGAGACCCAGGGAAGCCATTAAGTTCAGGTATTCTTCAGAATAAGAGTGCTTGTTACCTTTCTTTATGTCTATATTAATGTCGCCTTTTTTTTTTTTTTTTTTTTTTTGACATGGCCTTCAAGACGGTCTCGATGGTGACTGCGGCTTCGTTGAGGGCACCTCTAACGGTACTCTTTAAGTTGCCGCACGATCCGGTCAGCTTGATGACTGCCTCGGCACTGTCACGGATGGTCCGCTCCATCTCCTCGGCAGTCATGTCAGTCGTCATTAACTCCGCACGGGCACGCGCCAATTTCATGCGGCGTGTGTAGGAGACCGCCATCTCTTCCGGGTCCGGTGAGGCGGCCAGTCTGCCCGCCCCAGAGGTGGTAGGTCTGCCGCAGCTTCGCGGCTTCTTCAAATGCGGCCCTCGAGCGCCACGCCCCCGTCGCCCACTGGCAAGTTTAGGGGTGTCCTCCTCACTATCGGCCAAGTCCCTAGGGAGGGAGCGCTTCACTCCCGCCCGCGAGAGCGAGCTATCCACGCTCTCCGCTAGGGACATGTCGTCCTCCTCTTCGTCCGAGTAAACGCCGGACAGAACAGATATTCTGTCCGATGCGCCGTCGTCAGTCCATGACTCATAACCCTGAGTGTCACGTCCAGCTTGGCCACCTACTCGGGCGACGTCGTCTACCCGCTCGGTGACCGTGTCGCCTACTCGCGCGGGAGTCGCGCTCTGACTGGATGTCGGAGCGGTCTCGACCGCACGCTCGGCGACCTTCTCACTTTTATCAGGTGCCGGTTTCGTCGGGGCCTTCGACCTTGTGTTGGCCGAAGGTGTCGCATGAGGCAGCGGAGGGAACTCGGTCTCCATTGCTGTTTCTCCGTTGGTATCCCGATCCGTTGCCAACGGAGGACGGAGTCGCTGTTCCGGGAGGAGGCGTCCCTCTAGCGCGTCGAAACGTGCGTTGAGCATGACGCCTACTTTTTCGAACACGCTTCGCTCGACGTCCTCCAATGTCTGGCGAGCCTTTCTCTTGGGGGGTGGTGGCGGCGGAGCGGGAGCGGGAGCGGCTGCAACTTGCGCACCGCTCATCGCCTCCTTGAGCCGAGTGATTTCGGCCCTGAGCTCGGCCACCTCCTGTTTTAGTTGGGCGTTGGCGACACCCAACCTGTGTACCTCCTCGTCCTTCTGGCGCGATGACATGGCCTTCAAGACGGTCTCGATGGTGACTGCGGCTTCGTTGAGGGCACCTCTAACGGTACTCTTTAAGTTGCCGCACGATCCGGTCAGCTTGATGACTGCCTCGGCACTGTCACGGATGGTCCGCTCCATCTCCTCGGCAGTCATGTCAGTCGTCATTAACTCCGCACGGGCACGCGCCAATTTCATGCGGCGTGTGTAGGAGACCGCCATCTCTTCCGGGTCCGGTGAGGCGGCCAGTCTGCCCGCCCCAGAGGTGGTAGGTCTGCCGCAGCTTCGCGGCTTCTTCAAATGCGGCCCTCGAGCGCCACGCCCCCGTCGCCCACTGGCAAGTTTAGGGGTGTCCTCCTCACTATCGGCCAAGTCCCTAGGGAGGGAGCGCTTCACTCCCGCCCGCGAGAGCGAGCTATCCACGCTCTCCGCTAGGGACATCGGTCCCGGCGGTCCTCGCGGTCCTCGCGGTCCGCGCGGTCCTCGCGCCCGGTCCACGCCCGGTCCCGGCGGTCCTCGCGGTCCCGGCGGTCCTCGCGGTCCTCGCGGTCCGCGCGGTCCTCGCGCCCGGTCCACGCCCGGTCCCGGCGGTCCTCGCGGTCCCGGCGGTCCTCGCGGTCCTCGCGGTCCGCGCGGTCCTCGCGCCCGGTCCACGCCCGGTCCCGGCGGTCCTCGCGGTCCCGGCGGTCCTCGCGGTCCTCGCGGTCCGCGCGGTCCTCGCGCCCGGTCCACGCCCGGTCCCGGCGGTCCTCGCGGTCCCGGCGGTCCTCGCGGTCCTCGCGGTCCGCGCGGTCCTCGCGCCCGGTCCACGCCCGGTCCCGGCGGTCCTCGCGGTCCCGGCGGTCCTCGCGGTCCTCGCGGTCCGCGCGGTCCTCGCGCCCGGTCCACGCCCGGTCCCGGCGGTCCTCGCGGTCCCGGCGGTCCTCGCGGTCCTCGCGGTCCGCGCGGTCCTCGCGCCCGGTCCACGCCCGGTCCCGGCGGTCCTCGCGGTCCCGGCGGTCCTCGCGGTCCTCGCGGTCCGCGCGGTCCTCGCGCCCGGTCCACGCCCGGTCCCGGCGGTCCTCGCGGTCCCGGCGGTCCTCGCGGTCCTCGCGGTCCGCGCGGTCCTCGCGCCCGGTCCACGCCCGGTCCCGGCGGTCCTCGCGGTCCCGGCGGTCCTCGCGGTCCTCGCGGTCCGCGCGGTCCTCGCGCCCGGTCCACGCCCGGTCCCGGCGGTCCTCGCGGTCCCGGCGGTCCTCGCGGTCCTCGCGGTCCGCGCGGTCCTCGCGCCCGGTCCACGCCCGGTCCCGGCGGTCCTCGCGGTCCCGGCGGTCCTCGCGGTCCTCGCGGTCCGCGCGGTCCTCGCGCCCGGTCCACGCCCGGTCCCGGCGGTCCTCGCGGTCCCGGCGGTCCTCGCGGTCCTCGCGGTCCGCGCGGTCCTCGCGCCCGGTCCACGCCCGGTCCCGGCGGTCCTCGCGCCCGGCCCTCGCGCCCGGCCCTCGCGCCCGGTCCCGGCGGTCCTCGCGGTCCTGGCGGTCCGCGCGGTCCTCGCGGTCCCGGCGGTCCTGGCGGTCCTCAGCGCGCCTATCACCAAATACCGGTGGATCATCGAACTGTGTGGGGACATCACTGACCGTGTGGTGACTTTGTACTGTGTGGGGGCATCTCAACAGTGAAACTGTGTGGTGAAGTGAAACTCTTGTGCCATACCTCTGGATTGCAGTGTTCTTTTTCTGGATTGCAGTGCACACCCTGGACTTTTGGACTGACAGACAGTAAGTGATCAGGATGCCGCTCGCTAGGTCACCACCCCCCACCCGAAGGGTGACCCGTGCGCGATCGCGGGAGGGCACTGAGGCAACGAACACCCTGCCTGTCCCTCGCTCTCCACCCCTCAGTAGGCTCTCTGAGGTGCGCTCCGAGGACAACTCCTTCATGTCCCTGGAGAGTGGGAGTGAGAAGTGCCCGTCTCAACCTAGCTCAGTGGGAACCGCTCGGGCGGATTCACTGCACTCACTGGACTCTGTCGCCTCTGAGATCTGGCGACCTCCTGTGGCTGCCACTCCGCGCTCGCGCAACACTCCTGCCACCAGCGCCTCGCAGTCAACCTGCAAGCGCAAGTTACTGGCCACTCCCTTCCCCAAACCGGACTTCGGAGACACGCTCCTCACCCCGCTGCTTCAAGAGCTCCACGGCCTGATGGCCAGCATACCATCGCTGCTCAACGAGGAGAAGAGCGTGAGGAAGGAGAACCGCGAACGGGCGGTCCAGTGCAGCGTGGACGCGGCTCGGCTGCTTCAGAAAGTGCACCTTAAGCACCTGGAGGTAACTGCATCTTGCCAAGACGAAGGCTCCGCATCAGCGGCACCTGCCACCACCACCGCCGCCACCATCACCAGCAGCCATTGTTGCGAGGAGAAGCTCGCAGCCGCTGTAACTAAGGCTGTGACTCAGGCGGTGAGAACCGAGTTTGGGCGCATGAAGCCCACTTTGCCCGCCCAGCCCACTACTACCAACGGGAAGACCTACGCCGAGACACTTGCCTCCTCAACGCCGGCTCGACCTGAGACCGGGGACACTCAACCCCGGCGACGGGACGAGAGAACCTCACGCCCGGCGCTCATCATGGCCTCTAAGGATCAAAAGGCCGACAGGCAGGCCGTCACCAAGACGTTGCGAGCCACCATCCCATTCCGTGAGGTCAAGTTCACGGCAGCCAAAATTGAAATGCTCTCGCGGGGGAAAGCGAGAGTGGAGTTCGACTCGACTGACCACCTGAAGGAAGCAATGAGGCGCATCAACAACAGTACGGAGACCTCCGGCGTCAGTGCTGAACCGGAGCGGAAGCTGATGCCGATGATCGCCCTCAAGGGCATCTCCAAAGAAACGGCAAGCAAGGACCTCATTGCCACCCTGAAGGAGCAGAATCCCGAGCTGGGAAACGACGAGCGCATCAAACTGCGATTTCTGCGGAGAAACAGGAACCCCAACCTCTACAACGCGGTCCTCACTGTGCCGCCTGGGGTGTTCCACATCATCCTCTCCTTGGGCCGTGCACGCCTCGACCACCAGAGGGTGCACGCCGAGGAATTCTCCCCGTTCCTGCAGTGCCGTCGTTGCCTTCAGTTCGGGCACACGCAGACGCGCTGCCCCGCCGAGTCACCAGTCTGCGCACACTGCGCGACAGCCGGTCACCTGCCGTCGCAGTGCCCCAACAAGGCGCTGGCCCCGAGCTGCGCCAACTGCACCACATACAACGCCAGGTTCAAGTCCAACACGAGCGCCAAGCACACAGCACTCGATCAGGCCTGCCCTAGGCAAAAGGCCATGAAGGCCAGAGTCCTGGCCAAGGTAAACTACATTTTGTAGACCTCCAGCCACATAACACCTGTGGACTGGTCGTGGGCTGTGCCTTGGCGACCGTGTGACTGCCTTTTTTACATTAACTTTCCTTCTTTTGTTGTACATGTCTGTCTTTTTTTTTTTATATATATAGTGTAGAGTGTTCATAACTGTACCTGGGATGGGCACCGCTCTGACAGGTTGACCTACGCTGGGTTGGGGGCCGTGGGTCGGGCGCGGGGACGGTCGGCCTCGGTCCTTGGGCCTGGCTTGCTGTCCCCGCGCCCGGCCTTCGGCTTCTTGACTGGTGTGGGCGTCTAGGCCTGGCGGAGCGGTGCCGATCACAGGATCTAATTCAATGTGTGTTATTCCTTTTCTCTTTTACAAGTATTGCTATATTATTCAAATTGTCATTTTGTATCATACTCTGTGTGGCCCTCGGGGCTGGTCTGTGGCTCGTCGGCCCTCCAATGTCGCCATGGGACAAATGATCGGAACGGTCCCCGGGACAGGAAAGACACCTGGCCCCGGCAGCCAAGTAAGATCTGTCTAGGCGGCTGAGGGGGGACGGTGGCCCTCGGGCTGGTCCTGATGGCTCTCACGGTCTCGAAGTCACTAAGATCAAATAATTTATGGCATCAATTTGATTTTTCACTAATAACATTGCATATTTATAACGAAGTCTATGACCCAAGGGTCGGACCCGGGGATTCGCCCACCCACTGCTGGCGCTGGTGGGACAGGCGATCTGAGGGGCTCAAGGGGTTGGCATTTTTAATTGGAGTAGCCCTTCACTGGGCTAGCCCCAGCCCCAGTGGCCTATTAGGATCAGTGCACGGTCCCGGCTCACAGGGTGCTGTCGGTGGTCCTCGGGTCCGGCTTGAGGGTCCGGACTACCTCAAAAGCCAAATATTTTTTAATAACTATGTCCCAATAATTATTTGATCACAGTATTATTCAAGTAGAACTTAACGCCTGTTTTTTTTTGTATATAATTTGCCTGTAAGTGACTAAAATTTTAACTCATGTTCTAGTGTCACACTAACATTCTATGTTTTGCTAATTAACTATTGTGTAATATAAACTTGTGTGTGTAATTTAAATAACTATGTAATCAAGTGAATAATTTCCTGGTTACCATTGTAGATAATTAAGTAAATCAGTATAACTAATCAGAATTAAGCGGATAAAAATTTATGTTAACCAGTTTACCTTGTAAATTAGTATGTAAGTTAGGTTAAGCTCCTTTATTTGTAACATCCGTACTGGGCGGCCTATGTTTATATCTGTAAAGGCTAGTGCTGGGGGAAAACTCTCTTTTTCCTTCCCCCAGCACTCCCAGTCTATCTTTTTCTGTCCCCCCAGACCCTCCTTGAGCAGGCATCCCTCACCGCCTTGGAGGGTCGCGTGCCCGGCTCGTAACTCCACCCACTCTTGGTGTGGCACGCCTGCCGGTACCTAAGTGTCAAACTGTAACTTTAAGAATAACTCTGTACTAGCGTAAGTTAGTTTTAGGTCCTAATGGACGTCCCCTAATATAACCTAATAAAAAAACCTTTTGTGGCTAAANCCCCATATTAATGTCGCCTATCACAACTATATTAGCTGAGTTAATGTAACGGATGACATTTTCCAAACTACTGAAAAACCTGTCTAACTTCTCATATGATGGGGATCGGTAGATGGCGATGATTGCAGTATGCCCAATATAGCACAACAAGCCATTTGCATCTTTAATCAATGGTTCAGTAACACGACAATTTAAGCAGGTTTTAACATAGACAACCACACCGTCATTTTGTATTGGATTGTTTGTGGAAGAAAAAACTGAGTAGCCATGAAGATAAGGAAGTGCTGGATTGTCCTTAAGCCGACATTCCGTTAATATTAGCACATCACAGTCAATACTAGTCGTCTTCAGTGTTGCTATAAAATTATCGAAATTTTTGCCAATACTTCTAATATTAATATGTATCATAGTAAGTCCAGAGCCATCGACTGAAAAGTAGCCCTTACATTATTCAGGAGTGCAACAGTACAACTGGGCGACATTGAAATTGTCAATGTCAGTAGCTAGATTATCTACGACGGCCATTATTTCTGTGAAATACTGATATTTGTAAAACGTAGAGACCTTTGTCTACTACGTTATTAGTTGGAGAGTTTTGTACTGTTGCATACCTAAAGAATATCCGACATATGAAGCGATTATTTTTAAATGCATTGTCTATCAAAAATGCCCGGACCGTCTTGAATGAATTTGAGAAGTTGGCAATGATGGCGATGGCTATTGCTATTAGATCATTAATTTTTTTGGTGAAGTCATAATAAAAGTGCAATGTGTAGTAGTAACGCGATACGTGATATAATTCATGATAGGTATGGACTGAATAAGGTGGTGAGAGTTGTGTGGGGTGTGTTTGTGATGTGAGAATGTGTGTAAATAGGATGTGTGAGTAGTAACAAGGTGAATATAATGTTACAATAAATGTTTTAACAGATCTGTTGTTTCTGATATAATTAGCGGTGTCGAGTAATATGGAGAGACATTTCTCAGATTTAATATGTATGTAATTAGACGTTGGATCTTTGCGAAGAAGCACCCGGCCCTTGGACGTCCAGCAAAACTTATACTCATGTTTTTTGGCAAATTCACGGGTCTGAAAAAACAGTTTACGAACTGAAAAAGGCAGGTGCTCATCCACATAGATCGGTTTTTTGTCACCGTGCTCTCCAACATGGGTGAGGTTCAGTCTGTCAGATCCTTGTTTACTTCTATTCCAACGTCGCACTGAAGTAAGTAGGTTATTTTTGACTTGGACAGAGGCAAACTCGGCGACTATTGCTCTTGTTGTTCCAGGTTTCCCAGTCCGGCGATAGATGTCACGGATGTCCTGATCTTGAATGTTTATATCCAAGGTGGTTCCTAGTTTTTGTATAATTGTTAGGAGGTCACGTTCTGTTTCTTTCTCATCAGCAGGTACATTACGAATCTCGATAGATGACGATCTTGAACGTTGTTGAATTTCCTCTATCTTGTTTTCCAACATTATAATGTGCTCACTCGTTTCTTTAGTATCCATCTCAATTTTCTTAATTTTACGTTCAAAATCATCGTACTGTACCTTCATCGTGCTAATAGATAATTCTATTTCCGAGTTTGTTTTCTGGATTTCAGTACATTGATTTTTTACGAGAGCAACATCATTGACAAGTTTGGTCATGGTGGACGCTTGTTCCGCTTTCCAGGTACTCAGCATCATCATTAAATCATTTTTAAAATCCTGAAGGTCTTGAATTACAACTGGCTTTTGCCCTGCCTCAGAGACAGGCGAAGCGAGGTCCACTCGTGGGCGCTTGGAGCGCGAGGTGACGTGAGAAATGGCCACGGTTTCTTCCATTGAGGCTAAGTCCGGCTCAGAATGTGACATCACTGTGACCAGAGATGGTGAGGCCGGAGGGGTTCGCTGTACCTTAGGCATTCTCAATAAAATGTACTCAGTTAACTCCGAAGCACGTAGATGTTCCGTTCCGTAGCAGTTAACTTAAACGCAAAGTGACGTAATACTCAGCGCGTAAGCGGTGTGTCGTAGCG